CCAACACACAACAAAATAAAAACCAAAAGGAAAACCAAAAGAAAAGAAAAAGAACCATGACACTCACACAACCAACACTACCAGAATAACATGAAAGTTAAAAGAAAGAAGACATAAGTAAACACCTCATCTATATTCACAAAACAAACAGCCAATAAATAAAGCAAAACTAAAGCACACTACAAATTAAAAAAGACACTTGCTCCAAGCAGAAGTTGAGGCCGAACAATTGCTCCAAGCATAAAGACCGAATACGGTTCGGATAACATGCTTTTTATATCCATATCTATGATACCAATCACGGATACATATATGGATATGCCCTCAATTGCAGCTATAAAATCAAAATCTTGCTGTCGTTGCGCCCTAATAATCTGTTGTGATTTGGGGGATTTGCAAATTACATGCAATATACCCCCTCTCTTAAATTTTGACTTTTTTCTCCTCTCAATGAAATTTAAGATATTTGCAAATTACATGTAGAGTCCAGTGGAAAAAAGTTCAAAGTTCATAAAGGGGATTCGTGGGACTAGGCGTATAAATAAATAAATTTAGGGGGTTTATTATAAATTGAGCTTTGCCATAACTTTTGCAAGGTTCAAAAAGATGACTCTTATGATATAGTTTTTAATGTTGGAAGGGGGAAATAGGAGCATCTATCTATACTATATTTTTCTCAAAAAATAACCTTATATTATATACTAAAATTATAACCTTGCTAATTCATACAATTTTAAAAGTGGTTACATGTTTAAATTGAAACTTTAGTATTTGCATTAAAGCTCGTGCTCATAAAATTGATGTTCTGCTTACTTAGTCATGTTAAAAATGTATAGGTTTTTTTCAATCTCTTCTTTCATTTTGTTCTCTATTTCAGGCTTGAAGACTCCTGCGGGTTGTTTGACAGGCTGTGTGAGGAGTTATATGCAAAATCATCTATATTCACAAAACAAACAACAAATAAATAAAGTAAAACTAAAGCACACTGCAAATTAAAAAAGACAATTGCTCCAAGCAGAAATTGAGGCAGAACTACTTCTTAAATTCAATACAAAAATTGAATTAGGGAAAAGCAAATTTATCAAAGTTTTATCTCATTGGAAGAATCCTAGTCAGATTAGGGTTAGAGAAATCCTAGTTTAATTAGGATGGAAGAAATTCCACTTCAGTTGGGATTGAATTTGTTTGAAGCTTTAAGTTTATTTTGAATCCTAGATTAATTTGGATATAATTTGTTTTATTTGGAAATCTTAATCTCTAGTGTTATTTTATGTTAGCTAGGATTAGGAACATTATTTCTATTTCAATTTAGATCCTTTGAACCTATAAGTATGTCTATAACTGTTTTTTACTTTTTCTATTACAGAGACAGTGACCGATATTAATACTTTATAATAGATTTGGAATTGCATGTGATTTGCTTCCCTAGTATAAGACCACAACCTATTTCTAGCCTCCTCAGTAGTGCCGCCTCTCTTCTTCGTCATCTTCTTCTTCTACTACTTATTCCCCCAAACCATGGTCCATAACCAACAAGCCCTAACGACTGTTGTCATACTCTGCTACCTTTATGCTACACTATAATTGCAGTTGCAATTATTTGGCCTAAAGCCCGAGGACAAAACCCTCAATTGCAACTATAAAATCATAATCTTGTTGTCGTTGTGCCCTACTAATCTGCTGTGATTAGGGGTGCATACGGACCGAATACGATTCGGATACGATGCTTTTTATATCCATATCTATGATACCAATCACAGATACATATATGGATATGCCTTTAATTGCAGCTATAAAATCATAATCTTGTTGTCGTTGTGCCCTACTAATATGCTGTGATTAGGGGTGTATATGGACCATATACGGTTCACATATGATGCTTTTTATATCCATATCTGTGATACCAATCACGGATACAGATACGGATATGCATCGATAAGGAAAACCCATATCCATATCCACTAAAATAGAATACATGTACGGATATACATGCGGATATATATGCGAATATACATGAGGATACATAACGGATATGAGAAAACTAGATAATATAGAAAAAATACACATAGTTCTTATGATACAAGAGAGTTCATTAATCTATTCATTATATCTGAAAAACTAAGATTAGATCTCTTGATCATCAAGATTAGTTCAAATCCACTAATCAAGTATTAAAACAATTCCAATTGTCTGACCAACATATACTCAGATATTTCACTATATAACCATATCTTATTGGTTATAGTTTTTGGTAACTGTATCTGTATCCTAACGGATACGGTTACGAATATATCTACTGATATGGATACGGTTGTACACCCTTAGTTGTGAGAACAAATGCTTGTATTGTTATTAGTGGTTTGATGTCGTCAAACCCTAAACATATATACACATGTATAACATGTGCATATATACATATATAAGGGAAAATGTATATGAGCTGACAGCTCTATGGCAATGTGAGACCCCTACTAGTCACATCGATGTAGGGCTCACATCTCATAGAGCCCATTTTGCAATATGAGTTGTCAGCTCATAGCCAGTGGCCTTATATGTGTGTGTGCTCGTGTGTGGGTGTATATATGTGTGTACATATATATACATGTTATATTCGTGCGTACACACATATCTATATATGTGCGTGTGTATGTGTGTCTGTATATATATACACATATTATATGTGTATATATGTGTGCGTGTGCATGTGCGTATATATGTGTATACATATTATATATGTGTATATGTGTGTGTATGTATATATGCATATTATATGTATATATGTGTATACACATATATACATATACATATGTATGGTGTGTGCATATACATAATATGTGTATATATGTGTATACTGTATACATGTATATATATAGGTATATATGTATGTATATATTATATGTGTACATATATATTATGTGTATATATGTGTATGTGTGTGTATTCAGCACTGTAAATATTTTGTAAATAGTGCTCTTTCAAACTAAAGCGTTACATATATTCAGAATTAAGACCAATTATCATGAGTCATTGTCCAGTTTTGAAGTTAATTCTTAGTCTGTTTATAAAAAAGGTTAGGTTTCCAAGTGTGTTTTCTAGATTGAGAATTTCAAAGTTCCATAGGTCAGATGCAATGCAACTCTGGAACCAGTTTCGGTATGTGATATGGGTGATTCCCTACGTTACCCAGGTACTTCTAATCAGAAGCCATACCCGTTCCCGACATGTACCCATTCCTGACACGTACCCGTACCGTACCCAAACTTCTTGGACACTCCTTGCATATATGCATACATTTATTTGGGCATGTACTCAATTATACAATTCATGTTTTCATTTAAAGCACTTGTCACACATTTTTCAGACATATATCCTACCCTTCGCATCCACTTATTGAAACTCGCTAGACATAGATCAGGATTCAAACTATGATCTTGAAGAATCATATGGATGTTTCGTTCAAAATCTTGTGATTTTTCAATTTGCAATCCACAACAAAAAAAAACATAAAAATATTACAGGAATTTTAATTCTCATCCTTGTTCTCATATAAATTATTAATTCCAATATATAATATGTGTATAAAAATATTTATATAGTTGTGTACCCATACCCTACCTTTCACAAATTTTGTGTCCCGTGCCCATACACATACCCATGCAACATAGGTGATTCTAGTGCCTATGAATGAAGAAATGGTTATCTTCAACTGCTCTACATTAGCATGAGCAATTATATCAAGTGTTATAAATTGCATAGGATGTGCAGGAATCACATTTGGATCAAACTACTGTGCCATGTTCTCATTAAAAAGAAAAATGGTCCCAAATTTAATATTGTTTCATGTTCTTAATCTTGAAAGAGAGCAGAAAACTGAGCTAATTGTACCTTAAAGTTGTCATACATAAGAGGGAATAAGTTACACGTTTACACTCATCTTTCAAAGAAAATGTGAACGGAGATGACTGCATGTAGAATAATAAGATTTCCTGAAGAAAATAATAATAATATTCGCGAAATAAGTCTGCCACTACAGAAATATAAGATATACTAAACTTGGCATAATAGGAAACATGATAGAAGTCAAAATAATAATCAATATTACATTGCTTAACAATGTAAAAGCCATTTTTCTATAAGCCAATGTTCATTAGGTTCCTATTCTATATCCATAAATTTATTTTTATAAACACATAAACAAGTTGTAAGTAAATGTAAAACCTGCTAGCAAGAACTCTGTCAACAGTTGTCCATTCAGGCCGAATTGCAATCCATTCATCCTCAGAGTTATTCATAGAATCCATTTGTTCCTTAAACTTGTTTAATCTAGTCTTCAGTCGAGGATTTGCCTTGGATGCCTTTTTAAATTCATCCTCGGGCACCCTGTTCCAGATTACAAGTTTTCCAAATATGTATTAGAACATAGAACTTCCACAAGAAATAACTCAAAAAACATCAAACACATAATAATTCCACATACAGCTTGCCCAAGCCTACTGCAAGTGGGGCGCGGCGGCACGGGCGGGGGGGGTGGGGATGCCACACATCCAACATATCAAACTGGTTTCCTTTCCAAAAAGTTGGGAAAATGCATTTATGCCAAAAGTTTGAATTGAATCCAATTTGTATCCAAAATGAATGCACTTCATAAATACAGTACGCTTCACACATTGACGCTCTCTACATGATTTCCGAATCAACCTAGCATTCTAATGACTAACACAAACACACACAGGTATATTACTTCAACCAGGTAACATTTTCAAACAGTTATAACGCCAAGGTATGATCCATTTCTATAGACTTGCAACATTACTGGCTGTTTGGTAACTAAGAAAGTAGTTTAAAAAAATTCGTACATATACATTCTCCAGAGTTTGTGGCTTGAAAAGGAAACCAAATTCACATTTTGGTAAAGATGTGTTTTCACCTCGATATACGAAGCATACAGAAGTAAAGCTTAATGCTTGGTTTACATGAGAACCCAAGGTTACTGTAATTAAGAATTTCAGGAAAGGTGATCTTTGTATTTTCCATAGTAGAAGTATGAACAAATAAGATTACCAGGTACAATGAAGATATGAAAGTCCTTTCCATTTGACAAGATATTGCCTAACATCTTTTGGTTTTGAGTCCAGCTTTGATGCATCCATCTCAGCTGCCATGGGACGCAATTCACAATCCAAAATTTTCTCAATTTCATTCAAAGGGCTCACCTGCAAATATCAAACAAACACCCATCTGAGTATGACTTCTAATTAAGTAAATTTTGTAAATGAAAAGACTACAGCATGATCAGCATACACATTCAGGGCAGCTCCAGCTATCATCAGGAGCAGCTTTCCGAGGGGGCAGCAAGCATCTCAGATGGAAAGCATATGTGCATGTCCCACAGCCAATAAGATCACCAGTTTCACCACAGGCTTGGCATGCATCTTCTTTCTACAAGACAAGCAGCTGACTAGATCAAAAAGAATATGACAATCATCTGGCACAATTAAAGAAACATCTTGGATGCAGTACCCTCCAATGTCTATCAACATCTTCATCAGGAAAACATCCCACAACCCCAGCTCAAAGCCTATCTCAACTCTCAAGAGAAGTACGAAAAATCAAGAGGACACAAAATAGAAAAGAAAACTTTTCCCGTATCAGCCAAAAAAATCATGGATCCCACCCTCAACGATGAGACATATGGAAAGTTTATACACCACTTTGTGAAGACTTTCTTATCAGACCATTTCTCGGCTAACCCAATGTATCTTAGAAGATTATTGGAAAATACATAGGATAATAAACATTTGGTACAACTAGACTACTTTAAAAGGAGAGTTGGAAATATAAACCTTTTTCCCATGAGAAATCCTCTTAAGCATCATAGATCTTGTTTCCATGTTGAAACCATTCTACAAACTAACTTTCCAGAATTTTCAGAACCAAAAGCTCTTATCTAACTAAGAGAACCTAGTGCCCTCGTAATTTGTGTGGATTTTACTCTAGGTTACTCGGACACTCTAGGGTCCCATTTCCATGTTCAACACTTCCTGTATCTGTGCCTGTGTCCGACACTCCTTGGACACTTCTTGAGTATATACATACATTTATTCAGATGTGTGCGCAGTTGTATAATCTATGTTTTAGCTTGATACACTTCTTGGACATATATCTTAACACCGCCTCAATTTTCTGCAACGCGTTTGACTCGGATTGGGTTCATTTTAGCCATACCATGTTCATAAGTATGGTTTTAATAGTCGCTTGGGTATCAAGTTCAAAAACAAAGGTGGATTTTCAATTTATAGTCTACTCGATATAAGAAACATAACATGTGATATGGTTTTTCATAACATGCGAATATAAAACAAATCAAATTGCTCTTTAACAATTTCCATTCTTATTAAATTTGAGTAATTAGAGTGATGATATTACATTTTAACCATTCAGTGACTAGGGTTCCAACTGGGGAGAAATTTGGAGCTCTACTATCGTACACTACTTCCTCGGCCTCGAGGCGGCTATGGTTTCAGTCTCCAAGTCAAAACTTCTTCATTTCGCAAAAGTTAGTTTATAGTGATGTAGTTTGTGCGGCCAACTAGATCAAAATTAGGCAAATGAGTTATTTTGTTACCATTGAAACTATAAGGCCCAATAGAATCCTACATTCCTACTTATCCAAATAGGAAAATGCCAACCATACTACAAATGCTATACTACTATTGTACTATCACTAACAAAATTGTGAGGTCATTCCTTGGAAATTGTCAGCAAAAAAATTTGTGAGTCATCATGGACCACTCTTTTGTTTATCTCTTTTGTTTGTGGTAGTACAAAAATAGCATAACATTGTAGTATGGTTATCACAACTCATCCAATAATCACAATTGTTTTTCCCATAAATTGTAAACCATTGCACTCATATATACTTTCGCTAGCATTTATCACTTTTTAACTTGCTCACTAACATTTATCATTCCTGTTAGTTAGCATTTTGAGAATAATAGATCACAAACATCCCCCTCCTTGTGAATTGAGAGGTACTAAATGCTAATAAATTTTTCTGAGCAAAGTGTTCCTGAAAGTGTATACCTCTTATGCCTTATTTCCTTTTAAATACTGTATGCTAATTTAAATTTTGAAGTTGAAAGTCTTGTTATGCAATGATGTTTAGATATTAATCAATCGGGTAAAATAATTGTAGGTTATTGTGTCTAATTATTATTTTTCTGAACCCCCTTTCAGAAATTCCTAGATCCGCCACCAGATAGTATCCTAAACTATTACTGAAAGGTTTTTTTAATATTTTTAAGATATAATTCAAATCTAGCACAGAATTAAAGACTTGATTATGATTATGATTATGATAGAAAATGTAGAATCATTCACTAAAATGTAATTAAGAAATATGCAAGAAGATATTAGGTTGAAAGATTGTTATCTTATTACCTACAAATTTTCTTTACCCTAAAACTCTAAAATTCCAATCTCGCAAAAAGATAAAAACGCGGACCTAGTTCAGCAATTTTCTTATAGAACTGGAATCTGGTAGAGTTATCTTATTCCCAAAAATCTACAACCAACAGATAGTGGCCTAAACAATTATACGAAATTTTTTAATACTTTAAACACACACATTTTCTTCTTCATCATAACAAACCCTAGAACTCAAATCTCTCACAGAATGAGAAACATGATCATGGTAGAACCGTAGAAACATCAATATAACTAAATGGATGCTATCCTGAAACAACATAAACTCGTGTAATTAATCAACCCAGGACAAAATATCAAATTGAAAGGTTGTTTATCTTTTGAACTTTACTTCCCCACAGCAAACCCTAGAATTCAAATCCAGGACAGAACTAGAAACAAGAATATGATCGAAAATATAGAATCATACCACATCATCCCTAACAATCCTTTCAATCTCAGCTGTAGCCTTCTTCTCTTGCTTTGCCTTCGCGCTTCCTGCTTTAAGGATGAGCTCATCATCTGAGTCGCCATCAAGAGTGTACACAGGCCTCTTCTCCGATCTAACTCGAAGCCTCTCTACCAAACTACTCATTTTGAGTGCCGTCGACGATGAAGCGGAGAAATTTTGACGAAATTTAGGATTTACGCATTGGTTTTGAAAGGGAAACTAGGGTTTTGAGAGGGAGAGGGAAAGAAATTCCCACGACAAATGAGAGCGAAAAAAGAGCGAGGTGGGAACTGCGGTCGGGTTTGGGTAAAATGGGTATTTTGATGTTACTTGCAGTATCGTACGCCCAAAGTTTTTTTTACCCTTTTTTAACTTTTGGGTTAGGTCCTCAAATCTTTTGATTTTACAAGTGGCTGTTTGGTTGTTGTTGGTAAAGTTGTGTATTTATGACGCAACTTGGAAAGTTATTGTCCACCTCATCAATTTTACTTTTATACTTTTCTTTATTTATTTTTTATTCCATTGGAATCATAAATTGCTTGTTTGGTTTGCAAATGTAACTTTAATTGTTTGTTTGGAAAGTGTAAAAAGTGGTCCCTACTCAAATGATCATATTGGTTGGAATTATTTTATTATTATTTTTTCCTGACTTCAATATCAGCTTTCTCCTAAAATCATGTCTTTTTTTATAAAATTACTTTACAAGCCACATCAGCATATGAAATCACTTTACACTATTTTCACAACTACAAACAAACAATTGAAAGTGATGAAAGCTGATATTGGGACCCATTTTTTTACATTTTATATTCTTTTATATTTTAAAAACATACAACCAAACAGCCCCAACCAAACAGCCCCTAATAGACTCAGATTCTTCATATTTTTTACATTAGACCCTCAAATCCATCGAGTGGTTTAAATGAGACCCTAAATACATTAAATTGTTTCAAACACGACTTATATTACTATGTTACTAAAATAAGTCCTTTGCTTTGAGCAAATATTAAGATTTCAGGGTCTAATTTAGAGATATGAAGATTTGAGGGTATAATATAAAACTATCAATATTTCGGAAGACTGCTAGATTTGAGGGTATAAGTTAACAGATTCACTCTCAAAATGTTGACGTTATAATTTCTCCAACATCCGCAACATCTAGTTTGACTAGTTATATTTATAATTAAAGTTTCGTCAATACTAATAGACGTTATAATCATATGAGATAAATATTTGGATTTACTATGAGGTGTGTTTGGGAAGGCTTATGTCTTGAAGCTTATAAGTTATGCAAGCTTTTAGTGGCTTTTGACTTTTATGATAAAAATATCATAAAAATTATTTAGGTGGTATAATAATTTGTTTGCTTAATTCTATGTTATTTAGGTGAGCTTATAAGCTAGTTTTTCAAAAGATGAGGTGTACCAGCTTTTTAAAATATGATTTATAAGTAACATTATTTTGTATTTTACCAAACAGGTAGAAATGAAAACGCTAGCTTAAAAGCTAGTTTGACCAAAAAAGAAACCAACCCGAACACCCTCTACATTTTACAAATTCACTTTGTGTTAGCCTTTATCCTTTTAACTAACTCAATTCCAATTTTTGGAAATCAAAATACTCAAAATTGATTGTTTCTTTAAATATGAGTACTTATAAAGAGTGTCGATATACAATATAAAAACAATAATTCTTGAAATTATTCACCATTTCTCTATTTTCTATCAAGAACCCTACCCCTGGCCCTCATCCATGCTTCCTTCTCTCAATCAGATGTATTCATGTATGGCACACGCTCCATACCCATTTGTTTTCTCATTTGTGACCACCCATGTAGTTTGCCTTTTCCCCTTCAATGTCTCTCTCTCATTTATCCATTTATCAACTCTGTTGTTTAATGATCTTTGTAAATATATTAGATTTAACTATTGCAATTATGAAAAGCTTGGAGGACGATCTATTTTTTTCTTCAAAACCCTTTAATGTCTAGTTGCTTCAACAAAATCAATAAAAAATGGCTACATGATGCCTTGTACTAAATTCTAATCTTTCTAATCATGTTGACATGTGCTTTAATTATGTAGTTGACCTTAAAATATTAATGCTGACCAGTCGTTGGTGTGGACAAGATAACGGATCATTTGTCATATTGAATTATTGTGGACACTTTGGTTCTTATGATTCAATTAGTTCCATTAAACCTTCAAATAGGTCAAAGATTTCTTCTTCTACAAAAAGAGTATTTCATATAGCCTTTCTTTTTCATATACTCTGGTTGGAGGGGTTATCTGCAACACCTCAAAGTCCAAGGGTGTTTTCTAAAATTAACCCTACGTTAAATTCTCTGTAAATTAACAATTGCCATGATTTGAAGGATAGAATATAACAACCTAGAGTTTTGGTGATATCTCTAGGACTGCTTGGTCTTTATCATGATGTCATCATTCCTTTGTTAGCATTATAAAGGAGAAAAGTCAATTTTGCATTCAATGAATAGTCTCACACTGACTAAGGAGATGAATAGTAAGGGTTTATAATGTTTTTACTCTCTTTGGGCTTTGAGGATCCTTAAGAAGTGAGTTTTTTGGGCTTTGTATTGTTTGGGCATTGCATAACACACGTGCATGCACGCCTCGCCTCGCCGCAACGCGCGCCACACCTCACTGCACCGTACGCGCACGTGTTTTTTATTTTCTCTAACTTCTTTTTGCACGTTTTACACATTTTGAGAACGTGCGTAACAACTGCTTTGAAAACGTGTGTAACGGCAGTACGCGAGTTTCGCATAACGTGCGCTTGGATCCAGCAATGGCTCTAGTTTCTTACTCTATATATACTGTGCCTATACCAGCTCGGAAGACACAACAAGTTTCAGAGTCTTATCCCTCTCAGAAATGAAAAGCTCTTTTCTCTGTTCCTCCTAACTATTCCTCTTAAAAAATTTCTCAGCTACAGTTTACTTATATATTTATTTGGCAATCTTCTTCATTTGAGCAGAAGTTCTGCATTCTCGCCCGAGTTCAAAGGTCAGCCGATTTTGGGGGTTTTTACTGCTAGAAGAGAGGGGATCATCTGCGCCAGGGTGATAAGCGGGTCCTTAATCTTCTAGGGCAGTGTTTATACGACTGCTCCCAATCAGGCCAGATTTTAGTGTTTCTTTTATTTCGGATTTTTGCATGTTATAACCTTATTAAGTTTTTTCTAACAATCTAGAAGATTAAGGATTATAGTTGTTAAGAATTAATCCAAAATTATTGTTCATTTAAAAAAATATTGTTCATCCAAGAAAATATTATTGTTCATGCCGGTAAAAAATTTATAGTTACTGTTCATGGGGTTTACTATTGCTTTAATTATTTATTTGTTAATTAATATTATTGTTAATTTGTTGTTGTTTTAACTAGAAAATTAAAAGAAAAAAATCATTTATTGCTTAAATTATTTACTATTTTAGAATTAAATTGTTCTGTTCATACACTTAGTTTTCTTCTTATTGATCAAACACATACTTCTTATTAATCTTATTTTATAGTTAGTCACCTAGAATTTTTTAAGTAGAACTGGGATAATTGGTAAAGTGGGATAATTTTTTAACACTGGGATAATTTAGTGGAACAATGATGGATAATTCTTGAAGTGGGACAATTTGGTAGGATAATTTGGTGGGATAATGGTGGATAATATTATGAAGGGGATAATTTGGTAGGATAATTTGGTGGGGGTAACGGTGGGTATAAATTATTATTGTTAATAATTGTATATTAAAAATAATATAAGATTGATAAGCAATTGATTAGTCTAGTAATAACTATAAAATATAATACAATAAAGCATCACTATTCATCTCAAATAATAAAATATTTACAACTAAATAAAAATCTAAATTCCTAGAGTGACTCGACTTCCATCATCCCACATGGCCTCTGCCATAGAATTTCTCCAAGCTCCCGCAGCTGCTCGTTGAGTCTGTTGAGTCTGTAACTCATCTTCTTCATCGGAATCATCATCTGCATCAGCAATATTTCGTGGAGCTTCTAGTAGAAGATCATAAATGTCGAAGTCATCATTTGTATTCTCTAATCTTAAAAAGTTATGCAATCCTACGCATGCAACGAACATCTTTATTTGTGTGGCATACGGAAAACCTGGAGGTTGGCTCTTGAAAATAGTGAATCTAGACTTAAAAACTCCAAAGATGCGCTCGACACAATTTCTAAGAGACGCATGCCGATGGTTGAAAACTTCTTTTGAATTTCGTGGTCGTTGTCGATTATTAGGAGGGCCGAACTCTGAAAGATGGTACCTTTGACCTCGGTATGGAGCAAGAAATTGTAGCCTATTTGGATAGCCGCAGTCAACTAGATAAAATTTATCTGCAAACAAGAATAAAAAATATGAATGATAAAAAATATTATAAAACTAAAAAAATATTCCTTAATTGATAGAATACTATGTAAAGATTATTACTCTGTGGAAGTGGAAGTCCATAAGGTCTACTCATTGCATCCTTCAAGACTCTTGCATCATTAGCAGAACCCTCCCACCCAGCTAAGACATAAATGAATTTGAGATCAAATGTGCAAGCTGCCAAGACGTTCTGAGAGAGAAAACCATGTCTATTTCGATAGGGCGTCTGATCTATGTTATACACCATGCACGGTATATGAGTTCCATCTATTGCACCGATACAATCCTGAATAATCAATGTGTCAGACCATCTCAAGTGATATGTGTATGGTCGCGCACGCATGTGTGCACGTGTGTGTGTGTGTCTGCGTGTGTGTAAAATCTAAAGCAATAATAATTACTTTGAAATAAGGCCAAAAGCGAGATTCTGATTTAACCTTATCAGGTGGATCAGTAGGGGGTGATGCCATCAAACATGATGCTAAAGATACCAAAGCCTGTAATGCTTTATTGAAACATACATTGCTGGTCCATTTTGATCGATCAAATCGATCAGTTGCAACAGAGTATCGTTGATTTTGACTAACTGTGAGAAGAAAAATAGCAATCATCTCCTCAACACTAATGTGGTATGTGTCTTGTATATGGCCCCGCTCTCTCAAGATATTGCATAACTTCATGAAGCAATCTGGGTACATGCGGTAAATTCTACGAAAATCTTGTGGATGATTATCCATCTTGGACTGTAAGTATGTGAGACCAAGATCTGTGATACCACGTCGAGGACTTCGAAAATTAAGCGTATTTGCTATGAACTCCTGTGATAGAAGTCTTGATACCTTTGTGATCAGATCTGCAGCCTCAACAGCTAATTCGATTACGTGAATC